CTAAAGCCAGCCTTTTGACATAAGCTACTTTTCCATATGAACACAGAAATGTATGGCCATTCAAAACCTAGACATACATTTTTGGAAATTCACATGCGTCACCAAATTTTTTGGTAATTTTAAAACTAAAGAATACTTGTAAATATTTGGTGCTCAAATACATATATATATGGCTCAATGTTTGGCCAAGCTTCTACCGATAATACTGTAGGAACACTAAAACGACATAAAAAACGCCGAGGCAAGGAAAGTTAATTTTGGGTCGTATATTACGGATCTGTTTGCCGTTTTTATACCCGAGCGCACTTGTGTACAAGGGTATTATAACTTTCTTCACATAACGGTTGTTTGTAACAGGCAAAACGAATCGAGATAGATATAGACAAATGTATACATAAATGATCAGAATGAAAAGAGAAATCGATTAAGCGGTGACTGTCTGTCCGTCCGTCCGTCCGTCCGTCTGTGCACACGATAACTCGAGTAAAAATTCAGATATCTTAACGAAACTTGGTAAGTGCACTTCTTTCTGGCGTAGGACGGATGGTATTGAAAATGGAAAAAATCGGACAAAAACCACGCCTACCTGCCATATAACGGTAATTTTCAGAAATGCGACAACTGCGATATTTTAGAAACTACTGAAGATTATTCACTCAAAATTGATATTTACAATAAGTTTTAGACGAAACATAAGAATATTATAAATTTTTGGAAAATGGGCGTAGCCACGCCCACTTATGGTTACATGTGTATATCTTGGTAACCGCTGCACCAATTTCTTCCAAACATGGCACAGTTGTTAACCTTGGTATAACATACGAAATGGCTGAAAATTTTTAAAATCGGACAATAACCACGCCTACCTCCCATATAACGGTAATTTTCAGAAATACGAAATCTTCGATAAATCAGTAAATATTGAAGCCAACTTATTCAAAATTGATGTTCGCAACAATTCTTTACCAAGAAATACGTTTAGGATAAAATTTTGAAAAATGGGCGTGGCACCGCCCACTTATGATCACATGTATGTATCTCGGTAACCGTTCTACCAATAACTCGGTGTGGTTATTGTGCTTGCCACACAGAAGCAAAACGTTGAAAATTATTGAAATCGAACTAAAATTACGGCCGCTTTTCATATAACAGTAAATTTCAGAAATGCTTGAAACTTCAATATTTCGAAATTTAAGGACGTTAATTTACTTAAATTTGATACACCCCGGCTTACCATGTAGCGGTAGCTTTCGGAAAGGTGAAAAACATATATTTAATACTTGCGCCGGGTATTTAATGTTCGGCTCCGCCCGAACTTAGACTTTCTTACTTGTTCTATATCAGGTCATTTTCACAAGATATTTTCA